TGTATCAATTCAAAAAATAATTGATCTTACAACCTATTTTATGTGCCAGTGACCTCTTATCAGTGCAATCCACATTGTGGATTATGGCCAGATAATTTTCATGTGAAATTTTGAGTATGAAATTCTAAAATTAAAGAAATGTTTGGTGTTAACTGAACATATACCTCAATGTCTTCATGAAGTGGTGTACCATGAAATAGAGAAAAGACAATAGGTGCTGTCTTTTTTTTAAATTTTACTTAAAGAAAAGAAAAAAAAACAGTAAAAGGGTTCAAGTAATACAGAATTCAAAAAAATAAACAGTAAGAAATCATTAGTTAATAGATTACATATTGTCATTTTAGAAATAGTTGTTCAAGTTACAAAATTGAAGCATACAAAGTGGACATTCAAACAGTGAAACTGCAAACAGTTGTGTTCAATGATCCAACAAAAACTTAGTAATATGGTCATTTATCTTATACACCGGAACACACTTGCAGTTGTATCCTTTAGAGCATTTTCTTTTCCTCTTTTTTGCAATAATATTTACACACTTTGGGTTTTATTACTTCCATAGTTCTTATTACTTTTTTTGGAAAAGATAAAACCAAATGTGACAAAACAAAGCAGTCAGTCAAAACAAAGGATGGACATAGTACATGAAGTAAAAACAGAATACAAAGTGATCAACAATGGTTACCATAATGCCTCTTGCTATCTTAAAAAGAATTGCCTATATCATCAGGTATAATAAAATTGAACAAAACAGTACAGAGCAAAACCAAACAAACCTAAACATTGGAGACATTACTGGACTTCAAAAGAAGATAATAGTCAAACCAGAATTGGCATCATAGTGAATCTTATTGCCTTCAAAGTAGTTGCCTGTACCCTCAAACTTGATACCCATCAAACAGAACAGAATAGAGTAAAATCAGTCAAAACAAGATGGTGAGAGCAATACAGGGCTTCAAATCAAGTTAAGAGGAAATCAAAAAAGTTACTATAATGTATCCCTGCTAATTTTTAAAAATTTTTCCCTTAATTAAAAAATAAATAAATAAATACACATTTATTTTTAAAAGGGGGATATTGAGATAAAAGAGGACATAACAGCATAACAATACAGGTCAGAACAGAACAATTTAAGCAACATAGTGTTTCATCACAAGATAACCCGACTTAATAGTAGTTACCATAGTGTTTCTTTCCTTGAAATTTTTGAGTATAACTTTGTATACTCTAGCATCAAACATATCAAGACAGTGTGAAACCATTCAAGAGGATGAAAGTATTACATGGTATTTAGAACCAGTTGACAGAAACCAAACAATGGTTTCTATATTACCTCTTTGCCTATAAAAATTTTTGTTTATACTATCACATATAATAAAATCCAATAAGATACAACATGATAAAAGCAATGGAGAGAGAAGAACAACAGTTTGATGGGACTTCAAAACAAGATGATATTAAATCAGCACTAGCTATTATGATGTCTTGTTTTCAATATAGCTATTCATATCATCACAGACAATATTATCAGACAGCCCAGAATAAAACCATTCCAATTAAAGAGTGAAAACTTTATGAGACTTCAAAGTCATATAATGGGGAGTCATGATTACCACATACTTTTATGTATTTGTATCATTACTTATACTAGGGAAACTATTCAGTATTCATACATGTGAGTTTGATTTATTTCACTAATGAGTATGATCTCAAGCTGCGTCCATTTATTTAGAAATATCTCAATGTGATCCTTCTTTATAGCTGAGTAGTACTCCACTGTATAAAAATACCACTAATTTTTTTTATCCATTCTTCAGATGATGGATGCTTAGGTTGTTTCCAAGATCTGGCTACTACAAATCGTGCTGCTATAAACATGGGTGCACATATATCACTGTGCTATGATATTTTCAGTTCTACTGGGCATATACCTAGAAGTGGAATAGCTAGAACAAATGGGACTTCCAATCCCAGCTTTTTGAAAAATCTCCAGACTGACCTACACAATGGTTGCAACAGTCTACACATCCACCAACAGTGCAGAAGAGTTCCTTTTTCCCCAGAGCCTCTCTAGGATTTGTTATTGTTGGTTTTTTTGATCCTGGCCATTCTTTCAGGAGTGAGATGGAATCTCAGTGTGGGCTTAATTTGCATTTCTCTAATGAGTAATGATGATGAAAGTAGGCGCTGTCTTTCTGAGTGGGGAGGTACCATTTACATGGTTTAAAGTTTACATGAGGATTATTCAACAAACTAACTTTTAGTATATTTTATTGTTTTTTAAAAATTTTTCTATCATCAATACATCTCAGTTATAATCTGTAGATAGGGAAAACTGCTTCCATTGCCCATTCTTATTTTTGTATTAGCACCTGTAATTTTTAAGTCTAAATTATCTTTTTTAATCAGTCCAAAGTTTTAACATGTTTTTCATAATATAAATCAACTCAGTACTACTATAAAGATTCCCTGCTTGCAAAGGTTGTTAATATTATGTACCATTCACTGCATTGACTTATAAGAAAGACCTTGACCGTAGTAGACTTGTTTGCTTTATGCCTTTTGATCTACTCACCTAAACATAGCCATGTCTCCATCCCAATGTTTTTATACCATTCTGCTGTTCATTATATGGAAGTTATACAGTTAGTGAACACTTGATAGGATTAGTCAGTGGTCAGCACTAAATTGAAAAACAGTCTGTGCAAACCAGGTTACCACTAGAATTCAAAGTAGCAAAAAGTTAAATGTCCCAGAAAATTTATGAGAAGGGAGTAAGAGCCAGAAGATAGAGCATTAAAATGCCAATGCTTTTGTGTCCTCATTGTTTGTTTCTGAAATAAAATAATATATATTCTTTGCAATAGATTGAAAAGAGAACTATATTAAGAGAATAAATATGACCCTAATCATATAACAGACTAAATGAGTGTTTATTTGCACTCATAGTTTCTTTCCTTTTCTACTTTAAAATTTTATAGAAGATACAATTTTAATGCATTCAGACCATATCAAAAGACGTAAAATAAAAAGAAATAGCCCTCCTCTCAGTATCTGTCATCTTCTCTTTGCTAAATGTTACCAGTTTTTCTAATGATTTACATTTATGTGTGTTGATATTGCCTTTATTTTGAGTGTATGCACGTGTAGGATTTTATATATGCACACACACACAGATAGAGAGAGAGAGGCAATAACTTGCTTCAGAGCTTTATACTTTTTTCCCTTTAGCTTCCTATTTTGAACATATACATCCCATATGAACATACACATTCCTATTTTGAACACATGCATCCCTTTAGTTTCCTATTTTGAACATATACATCCTATATGTAATCCAGATGCAACCTGAAGTTTCTGAGTGCTGAGTTATATTTTTAAAACTTGGCCTGGCATCTCTCTCCATGCCATTCCATAGACATGAGTTTCTGGCATTGCACAGAAAAAAGTTTGTAGCTTCAGTTGAGGACTTTTTTCTTTGAATCAAACGTTTTGTGTATTTAGCTATATTTATGATGTTTTATGAGAGATATTAGAGAAAAAGATACAATTACTACAATGTAATAGATTGGTGAAGTGTCAAAAGACTTCAGTTTTCGATACCAGTTCTATTGCTTGACAATTATCTTTTTAAAAAAGAAAACATTTTGAACAATCTTGGGAGATAATTTTACTCCCCGCACCCCATGAGAATTGAGGGAACAAAGACTTAGCTATGGATTATTTATGAACACAAAACTAGTGTGGTTTGTGTGCAGTCTGAATTCAAATAAAGACCTATTTGATGTGTTTTTCAATCTATTATTTTGGCCTTTTCCTTAATTACTTTTCACTTTGCTGAGAAAAAATACCAGGTATCCAAAGTTAAAGAAGGAAATGGTTATTTTAGCTTATAGTTTCAGCCCACAGTCTACTGACTCTAAGGCAGACTTACATGACAGAATGGCATCACAAAAAGGGAATAGTCCATGTCAGGATAGACAGGAGGCAGTGCAGTAAAGCAGCCAGCTGCCTTTCCCCTTTATCGTATCTATGCTATGTACCCCATGAGCAGTGCCACGCACACCAAGGGTGAGGTATATATCTTTAGTAAATCCATTCAGCCACACAAAGAACTATGCTAATTCCAATCAGTGGAATAATTTTAGTACCACACACCCTTAATCCGTATATCACACACTGTACAGCGAGCCCCACCTTTGGGAACATGAGGCTTTGAAGAAACATCTAGATATAAGCCATAATAACCTCTCTTTAGTACTTCTGTGAGTAGCAATATTTTTTACTGTTTAAAATCTATAAGAGAATATATTTTAAGTGTTTTCAATATCAAAAAAGTATGAGGGTAATATACATATTAAGTACCCTGATTTAGCCAATTCACAATGTATACATATTTCAAAACATTATGTTGTACTATATATATATATATATATATATATATATATATATGTTCCAATTAATTAAAAAGGTATAAAACATGTTCCTCAATGTTATTGTTGCTCCTGCTCCATTTTGTGGTACTAAGGAATGAACCCAGAGCTTCATGCATGACAATCACTTTGATAGTGAGTTATAGACCCAACAATGTTGATTCATTTATTTTTAATTCTTTTGATGTTTTAAGACAGTATATCCTTATGTGCTTCAGGATGGCCTTGAAGCCACCCTATACCCCAAACTGGCTTCAAACTCATGGCAATCTTTCTGCCTTAGCCTCCAGGGTGTTGGAATTATAGACATTCATCACCACATCTGACCTATTTCTTTTTGTTAATTTTTGAAACAGAGCCTCCCTAAAGTGTGAACGTTGGTTTAGAACTTGCAGTCCTCCTGCTTCAGCCTCTGGAATATTTAGGGTTACAGACTTGCATACTTATGCCTAGCTTGCTTCCATCTTTAGACTAGAGGTTTAATAAAAGATATGTATGTGTTCTGTTACCTTTCTGGGAGCCAATTATCTCCTCTCTGATTTCCTTTTTTTTTTAATATTCCCTTTTCAGGAGAGAAACCTTATAAATGCACCTTGGATGGCTGCTCCTGGAAATTTGCTCACTCAGATGAGCTCACACACCATTTCTGTAAGCACACAGGTACCAAATTCTTCAGGTGCACAGACTGCAACCACAGCTTTTCTCGATCTAACCACCTGTCTCTGCACCACCGATGCCATGACACCATGTAAGCTCCACAGGCCACTCCAGTGGAGGTGTACTCGTTTATTTCCTGTGTATATGTTACAGACACAACCCTATTTTGCTTTTTGACTTGGACTTGCCTCTGGAATGGGATTGGAGCAGCCTACTGAGCCAGACTGAGGTGACTGGCTTTCCATGGGACCCTTTATATTCCACCTTCACCTCCACTCTATCTAGACTTAACTTTCTGAGCCTCTGCATGGATTGATTTCTAGTGTGGCATGCATGGATGCCCCTAACCTCAATCTTCCCTCCTCTGAAATAGACATTCTTCCTACAATAACAAAACAGGAATCAAACTCAAGGCTGTGAACAAATGTTTGCTGCTTCATTTTCCCTTTATTTTACCCTTGTTTTTTATGATTGTTTCAATTCTGGGATGGATGAAGGATAACTATGAAGTTAATAGGTATACTACACTACTTAGAGAGATTTGCAAGCTGCTGATAAGGAATATTCTCAGCCTTATATCAAAGTTAAAAGTTTTATAAATTCAACCTTATTTCTACTTATGGTTTGGTTTTCAGGCAGTGCTGGTGCTTCTTTTTTTAAACCCATCAAAGGGAATAAAGAAATTTTATCTTTTTCTTCCTCTTCCACCTGCTTTAAGAGTAAAGATTAGGTGGAACAGTTACATGCCTTGTTAGGTTACATTTGGGCAAATGTCCAAAGTACAGCAAGACAATTGTAAAAGAGACAAGGATTTTGAAATAAATATGTCCATCAGAGACAAGAACAAGTAGACTTAGAATGATCCTGATGGCAAATAAAAGGTGAGTTTCATTTAGAAAGGATAGCAACAGTGATATTAATCACAAACTGCATTCAAATGGCAGTCTTTTGAGATGTCTTGTGGGATGACTCTTTACTGTTTATCCCTTTGTTTACATAAACAAATTTGGTCTGGTATATAATGAAGAATCACACAGAGGCCATGTCATATAGAGGTGAGTAGTTGGAAGAAAGGAATTGTGTTCACTGCATGACATTTTGGCACTTATTCCTGTGCTTTATAATGAATATACGAAGCTTTTGGTAAAAATTAACTTTAAAAGGCAGTTTGAAGTTTTATAATTATAATGAAGACCTAAGACATTTCTTTTACCCATTACAGCAGATTGTGTAATACACACATTTGGTTGTCCAGTCAGACTGTTTCATAATATCCTTTGGGCTATACACCCTATTTCTATCCCTGAATCTCAGATCTACTTCCATGAGATGTATTTCCCCTTCCAGGATAAAGTGAGTGGGGCACTGTAACAATTGAAGTCAACTCAGTCAACAATTGAAGTCAACTGTCTCCTAAAGATTGTCTTCTTATTGAATCCTTTTTCCTTGGCAGATACTTAATCAATCTCTGCCTGAATGTTTTAGGTTACTACCTCTTGAGATGTCCATACTAATTAAACCATAGAATTCTAGTATCCAAAGGGGATTTTATAATGTTTATTCCTACACATCTCTCATATGTAAGAGAGGTGATAAATATGGGTCAAGTTCTTCAAATTTTTTCTTGAGGCCTTATAGACCTGCACACTCATTGTCCTAGAGATGACACAATTAAAACAAGAAAAATGAAAATTTTATGTGATTGGCTATAATATTTATCCAATTTTATGTTACCTTTCAAAAACTTTACTACAGAAAACCATTTACAGTTGAAAAAATGTCTTTGTAGTTATTGCCATATAACATTAGACACACAGATTTTTAATTCTAAAACTTTTGTAATACCTAGATTTTTATTTACCTCATTTCAATTTGTAATGTCTTTTCAGACCATAAACCCTCTATAAATTAAGGATCACTTACATTTTTGAAATAACATGTAGGATTTTACTACTATCATTATTATTTTGTCATGGGCTTTTTCTTAATTTTGGATATACAAGTCCAAGCTATGAACTAATTACTGATGCAGTAGGGAATATTTAGGGCCTATATGCTATTCAGAACCTCTGAGTAGCTATGAAATCATTTGGAACTGGCGGACTCCGATCTTACATACATTCAAACTTTACAATTGTGTAGCTGGTACAGTATTTCAGAGTAGAGCTCAAAGGTTTAACCTTTACCTCCATGGTTTGGATACTGATTCCTTTTCTAGAGCTCATCTGTGACCCTAAGATCTCAAGACATTTGCATTGGGTGTATGGCCTATTTAAAAGTAATTAAGATGATTAAATAAGTATCCTAAATATTGTTGTCCCTGCGAAATCTTCAGGGGAAGATTTATTTAAAATTTTTTCTGCAAAATAGTAAGTGACTGTTAGTAATTAGCTTTAGTCAGGAAGCAATTCTAACTCTATTTTCATTGTTACCATTTTCCTACCCACCCACAAAACAAAAACTTTTGAATGATTTAACATATTTTAAGAAATGTGTTAAAATTCTATAAAGATATTTCATAAAGTATGTAAATTAAAATACAGTGCTACTGAAGAGTTACACCACGAAAAGCATGTAAAAATTTTACTAGGTAGATCGTGAGATACTAAAAAGTATCTCACTTAGGAAACATTTTGGATTTCATTGAATTTGGTATATTTATATCAACAAAGCAAAGTTAGCATGACAGTTGCCTAGGACATAGCAATGGTCTTATATAATGAGGTTGCATAATATCTTGGGATTTGTTGCGGTGGAATTTCACGATCTGTAGATTATTGGCAGTTGAACATAACTATTTTATAATTCTGATTGTAAAGTTTAAGAAAGATTACATGAAATGTGAACTTGTAAGGTAAATTAGTGGAGTGTTTTGTGTTTAAAATACATATATTGGCAACATGAAAATCTTTTCAAATAAAGTTTACATTTGGAACACTTTCAGGTTTACAGAAAAATGGTCAAGCTGGTACAGGAAATTCCCCTATACCCTGCATCTAGTTCCATGTATTATTAACTTTGAACACTATTATTGTACATCTGTTACAATTAATGAAACAACATTGATATATTAACTGAAGTTCATACTTTATCCAGATTGATTTCATTTTTATCTGTTATCCTCTCTTTTATCATACTTCCAGTATTCAATATACTATATTACATTTAGTAATCAAATTTTTATAGGGTTCTTCTGTTTATGAGAGATTTTCAGACTTACTTTGTTTTCAATAGCCCTGGAAGCATTGAACAGTAAGTTTTTCAGTTTGGATTTATCTAGTTTTTTACCATGGAGAAACTGGGGCTCTGGGGAAAGAAGATCACAGGATAAAGTGCTATATTTTCATGATATTTACATAATATCATTCTTTTTAACTTGAGCACTTGACAAAGATAGCATTTATCATCTTTTTCTTTAAAGAAAAACTAAACAAAACAGAAAATAGGTAGAAATAATACATACGTTCAGAGAAAAAATAAGCAGTAAGAAATCACTAGTTGATGTTTACATATTGTTGATTTACAAATAGTTGTTCAAGATACAAAAATGGAACATGTAAAGTGAGAATTCAAACAGCGAGACCACAAACAGTTCTGTTCAACTCTCCAACAAAAACTTAGTAACATGGTTGTCAATCCTATACACTTAAACATACATGCAGTTATCCATAGCTTCATTTATGTTTAGATTAAACAAAATAAAGCAGGTTAATGTCATTCTGAACAAAGAATAATAGTATTGCTGGATTTCACATCATGACACTCCATGATCAGCACCGGGTACTGTAGTGTCTTTTTAAAAAAATTCTATTTAAAGAAAGATTAAACAAAACAGAAAATGGGTAGAAATAATATGTAATTTCAAAGAAAAAAACAAACAATAAGAAATCACTAGTTGAAGATTACAGATTGTCTTCTTACAAATAGTATTCAAGATACTAAAGTGGGGCATATAAAGTGGGGATTCAAACAGTGAGATTGCAATCAGTTTTGTTCAACTATCCAACAAAAACTTAGAAATGTGGTTATCAATCCTGTACACTTAAACATACATGCAGTTATCCATATCTTCAATTATGTTGAGATTGAATAAACGCAAGCAGGCTAATATCACTCTGAACAAAGAATAATATTATTTCCGGGTTTCACATTATGACACTTCAGGATCAGCACTGGGTATTTTAGTGTCTCTTTTTCTTCAAAGTATCTGTTCATCTCATCATGTGTCATATGATCAGTTCTCATAAACTGTTTATAGATTCAACATGTGCATGAATCTTAGCATGTATTTCTATCCTTTCTATATTAGAGAGAGAAACAAAACAAGGCAAGGCAAAACAAAACATATTCCTATAAACTCATGAAACGAAATAAACATATAAAGCCATTGAACAAATCGTTCTACCATAGTTCCTATGTTGTCTCTTGTTATCTCCACTAGAATTGGCTATATCATCAGACATAGTATAATTGAATATATCAGTACATAACAGTATTAATAAAAACAACTTTGTATGTAGTATAGAACTTCAAAACCTGGCAGTTATCAAACCAGAATGTGTATCTTAGAGTATTGTCATCTTCAGTGTAGTTGACTATACTCTCAGACTTGATACTATCAAGCATATCAGTTTTGAATAAAATCTTCTCTGCCTCATTTCTGTTAAGCTCTTTTTTTTGCCATCAGTTGTCTATTTATCTTTTTCATTCTGTTTTCTGCTCCATTCATTGAGGCCTCTCTGCCACTGTTCCTGGAATCCTAGTACTTTTCTCTCTCTCTACAATGCCCTGCAGTATTCTCTGCAGAGTTAGGTTGGTGGTTGCAAATTTCCCAAGTTCCTCTTTGTCTTGGAAGCATCTTATTTCTCCATTAATTTCTAGAGAGAGTTTAGCAGGGTATATCAATCTGGGCTGGAGGTTATTTTCTTTCAGGGCTTGAAATACTTTGCTCCAGGCTCTTCTTGAGTTGATGGTTTGTGTCAAGAAGTCTGCCATGATTCTGATGGGCCTTCCTCTGTAGGTTATTTGTTTCTTGTCTCTAAAAGCTTTTAATATTCTGATCTTATTTTGAATTTCTGGGATCTTGATTATTATATGCCTGGGTGTAGCTCTGTTTTGGTTGTAGGTGGCTGGAGTTCTGTATTCCTCATATATAAGAATATCATTTCCTTTTCCTATGTTTGGGATGTTTTCCTTAATTATTTCTGTGACTAATCTTTATAGTTCCTTTGTTTGTATCCCAGCTTCTTCATTCACATTCTTTATTCTCAAGTTATAGATCCTTTTGTCATCTTCTTGACTTTCTATTGTTACTGCTTGTTTCCTTGTTATTTTTAAAAAGTTTTCCCTTTCATATTCACACATTGCAAAATTGTCCTCAAGTTTGGATAATCTATCCTTAGTTTCCTTTAATCTGATTTGCCATCTTTCCATAAAGTTTTTAATTTTCTGGTGATCTCTTTGAATCTGCTTCATGTATTCTATATTTTTTTATATTCTTCACCAAATAGTTCTCTCCTGTGTTTGAGTTCCTCCCTTCTTCCGTCTGTGTCTGTTTGAGGGGTGCTTAGTATCTCTTTTATTAATCTTCTCATATCTTGCTTTATTTAGCTAAATATCTCACTTTTGAACTCATCTATGAGGTCCCAAATATATCTCTTTATGTCCCCTAGCACTGTGTCTGATATTGCATGTTGCTGTTCTCATTCTCCTTTTTATTTACCTGTCCTGGGTCAGTGTTCTCAGGGTTAGGGCCTGGGGACTTTTTTGTTGTTCCTTCCTCTTCCCACCTTTTTTGCTTCTTCTAGGAGTCCCCAGTTTCTTTCCTTGTTGGTTACAATTCTTCTGAAGTGTGCTGGCTAGATGACCTTTCACACTGCAGTGTGTTAGAGAGTTACAGACAGGGCTAGCATATGCTGGCACCTTCCCTCCAGATCAGTCAAGCTGATACCACCTGCACCAATGTATTATTTTGTACCACCTCCCTCCTGATCATCCATACCTTCGAAGTCCCACTGGGCCAGTTAGTGTGTGCCACCACTTCAGGGACTTGACCTCGGATAACCTATTGGGTCTCAGCCAGGTCACATGACCCAGGCCTTGCTCACTCCACCAATCCCGTTTGGGAAGGGAACAAATGACTGAAGTCACTGCTGCCCCTTGTACTTGCCAGTTCTGCCCGATCCCAGAATGTCGCCACCAGAGCCCTCTTATTTATGGAATGCTTCCACTCCCCTCACTCACCACAGGTCGATGTAGGCTCCCTGCCAACTCAGCTCTCGATTCGGCTTGATGACCGCTGAACTCACTGTAACTGCGCCTCTAGTGAGTCGAAGTGGTGGGACCTCAGACAGCTTGACAAGTTGCTGCAGGACCCCGGCCAGTTGTGGTGGGACCTCAGTCAGTTGCAGTGGGACTCCAGCAAGTCACAACATTGGCCCGTCGTGGTGGGACCTCAGATGGTCAACAACTTGCCTTAATTTCTTCTTGGGATGAGAGAATTCATCTCCCTCTGTTTGGCACTCCCCACTCTATATTATGTTGAATTCTAAGTTGACTATCTCAGGGAGCCTTTGTAGCCAGTTGTTGTCTATCTGCCATCTTTGCTCCTCCCCCTATCATCTTTTTCATGTGTATTCTTTTTCTCCCTTTCATACGTTTTCCAAAAAAGTCACTATGTACAATCCACATTTAAAGTGCTAATTAGGTATTCACCACATTCTTGATTTTAAATACCTCTATAAGCTATTTGGAATTATTCTAAATGGGAGAGTTGTGTCTTGTTCATTTATTTATTTATAAAATTGTTTGCTTATATAGAGATTCATGGATTTATATAGGATTCATGGATGTTTGTTTGTAGGTTGCAATTCTATACTAATTTAATTATTTTTCTGACCAAATTGTTTTTGGCTTTGGTCATTGGGAACTCTTTTATGGTGACTCTCAAGTCTTTTTGACATACTACCCTTATTTATTAGGGTATCCTTATATTCTAGACTCCAAGCTCTTATGGGATTATTTTTCATCCCTACACTAAACTCTTTTCAAAGGAGTCCTGGTTACATTTACTGGCAAATTGTTACTAGAAACCAATATCTGGGCATCAGGTAGGCTTGTTGTTGCTGAGATATTGTTGTTTGAAGATCTCCTCAGTTGACAGGACAGGAAATATATGTTTGTACACTAACTTATGTGATCATTCGTATAGTTTAGGTGTATGGGAGTGCATGTTGGTGTCTTCAACTCAAATTCACATCAATTAGTCTACCCTATTTGTTCAGTTTGATTGTTGTGCTTTTTTATTCATAAAATATTTTTAACTTCAGACACCATGGTTATTACTTTAAATTTGTCTCCAAATTGTGTTTCAACATAGTACTAGTTAATAATCTTTCTCTTAACTGAGTAAAGCTGAGATGAAATTACTGCATAATGTTATGGGGCAATCAAAGAAGATGGGCTGTCTCAAACAATAATTTCTCTGTTTAAACGTGTTGGGAATTCTCTGTTCTTGGTAATATATTCAGCCATGTCAGTGAATGAGGCTCATGAATACTGTATGCTCCATTGGTGTATTTCTATAAATGATTCCACAGAATTTTGTGACATATAGACTCATTTGACTAGGTTTCTCTACAAAGGTCTCTTTTCCTCATTTTTTAAAGTCTTGTTCTTAAGAAGTTAGGAGAAAGGAGGGTATGGTGACAGCTTTAATCATCAAGGACATTCTAATACAAATAACAAACCCAAGTAGGACTGTGAAAAGTTGTCTTATCTGATGATTTGGTCTATCAAAGAAATACTGCACTGTAACAGAAAAAGAGGAATTCTTTGAAGGAGTTTGAAGCTGACATCAGAAAGGGCTGCCAGAATGAGATTTTTTGTTACAACTGACAAAATTGAGTCTCAGAATTTATGGATTTTTGAGCAGTATCCATTTATTCATGTCTTTTTGGAAAGTAAAAGAAAAATTATGATGAAACAAACTTTAGTTTTTTCAAAATGGTACTGGGAGGCCATTAAAGAAGTAAGATTTATGCATAATTCAAACTTTGCCTAAAAATATGAACTT